GTTTAATAATTGGAATTAAATTATTTAATTTTTACAATTTTTAAATGATTAGTTGGTCCTATTACTTTTTTATGTGTACCCTTTAACCCCTAAACAAACTTTTCAACTAATTTTCGAATTATAGTACCAAATTTTATTCTAATCATGTCTCCAATCCATTAAGTTATATTTACTTACAATTTTAGTTTGGTGATTTATTCCTTTTCCCACTCATGTCAACGCTCAAACCCCCTTTCCAATTGCTGTCTGTAGTGGCTAACGAACCCTCTCCTCTCATCCTGGCTATCGATTGAAGCAATTGGATTTTGCGCTTCCCATCGATGTTTAATCCCTCTATGGATTAAGAGAGTGATCTGTTCGAGGCATGATGCATTGAATCTTGTGCTCGAGAGGCGGATGAGTAAGGATCGGAGAAGTGAAGAGTGCAGACTCGAGAGGTGGGCCGAAGTGCGGATCGCCCATAGCGGTGGGTAGGTACGCTGCCGTCAATTAACGGTGAATGACTATGACCTTTACGTCCTGTAAATAATGACTAAGGCTGAAATGGAGAGAGGGGATTGGGTCTCGTCAAGGGAATTCTCTTGGTCGGAGTCCAGAATCGTAACGGAGTGAGAAAGTTTGGACGATGAAGAGAGACGGCCGTCGGATTACGGTGGTGATGGCGGCAACTGGATAATTGGCAATTTGGGGGGGCTAGGGAAGACGACGATACATGAAAGGGACTTCTCTTGGTCGGAGTCCAGAATAGTGAGAAAGTTTGGACGATGAAGAGAGACGGCCGTCGGATTATGGTGGTGACGGCGGCAACTGGATAATTGGGAATTTGGGGGGCTAGGGAAGACGACGATACATGAAAAAACGGCATCGTTTTGTGCTCGTCTCTGAATCGAAAGTGGCCTGGAGAACGGCGTCGTTCTATATGTGTAGCTGAAAACAATTTTTTTTGTAATGGAGTGAGGTTCGAACCAGCGTCCTGGTCATTACCATGGGCATTCTTCACCATTTATGATGAACAAGAATTTTGATTCAATATACTTCCACTTTTATATTTATAACTATAAAATGAGTTCTTGTAAAATTAAAACATAAAACTAAACTAAGCAGGCCTTTTGTACCAGGCCCAATAGGTGATGTTGGATCTTCTCGCTTGGGAAATTTCCATCAGTGGAGCCTCCTCTTTGTTTGTCTTGCTTGCTTCTCTTAGCTGAACTTGCATATAATTTTCAGGTTCTTGATTAGATATGTCGATTGATTGATGATAAATTCAGAGACTCGGTGTTGTTAAGCGTTTGGCGAGCATCGTTGGTAGGTCTTCAAATTCTCTTTTGTACTTTGAATTCGCAAACCTTCCATTAAAACTTGTATATAATTTGTACACATTATCTTGCTACAGTAGGGATATGTTTGGGTGTTGCTTAACTGAGGCCCCTCTCGTGCATTCTCTGATTTAGATGTTGTTATGATGGAAGAAGACTTCGATATCTTGAAGGTCTATCATTTCCTCTGTCTCTCTCTCTCTCTCTCTCTCTCTCTCTCCAATGCATATGTGATATGTGTAATTACGTCTGTCTTCGGTTCATAAATAGTGATGGCCGAAATTTTTTTTGGTCAAGAAAGAAACAGTACTAGGTTGGCTACTGATAAATTGATTCTCATTCTTCAGGTGTTCTTTATAGCCAGTGGAGATGGCCTCCCTCGTTCGGTGGTGGAGCCAAACGCAATAGAGGAATATGCTTGTAAATAGCCTTGTCATTGGTGGGGATTTAATCTGTACTCCTTGTTAATAGGCTTGCTTTCCTTAGTTGGATCAGTTTAGGTGTCAATAGAGGAATTCTTTTTTTGGACGTAATGGTATTAATAAATTAGGTTTGTTTGGCGGTCTATATAAAGGGACGCCAAGCCTAGAGTTTACCTTGTAAAAAAAAACTCCTGCCGTTTTCCCTGGTGACTTTAGCAAAAGTAAGGCTTTTCTTCTGTGTTGGCGGGGAGAAACTAATTGCAATGGAGAAATCTCGGTATAGTGCAACAACTAAAATAGCTCTTTCTTTTGGTCGTTTGTGTTGTTCCTTTCTTACAACCCTTTTCCTTTCATGTATGTTCTTTTGTTTGTTTATGACTTTTGTTTGTTTCATGTATGTTCTTTCTTTTGTTTTGTTGTTTAGCATGTCGAGCCATGATACTAAGAAAGTTGTTGGAGCCATGGAGATGACGTTCACTAAGTTGTACGATAAGAGTAAATCTTTGACTGCAATGATAATGAAAACTGATACTGAATTTCAAGTGCTAAAGAGGATGTCGAAACGCATTCTTGATCAAGCATCTGGAAGTTCACCTCCCACTGACGTTCCTGTCACGCCTACCGTAAAAAGAGTTTATTATATTGATTCAAACCTAGACTCAGATCGCGATGGCGACGGTTCACACAAGAGGCAAAAATATGCGGTCAAGGAAGATTTAAATGAGTCGGTGAAGGTATATAGAATTTATTTAAACAATTTGCACTTGTGTCATTTTAAAGTGTTTATGATGTACCTATGTATTGTAATTTTTGTTAAATTCAAATCGTAGATGGAATCTCCGGTGACTCTATCTGGAAGTTCAGCTCCCACTGTTGTTCCTTTCACACCTAGCGTAAACGGATTTATTTATATAGATTCCGACTCAGACGCAGATGGCGATGATTCACACAAGAGGCCAAAAAATGCGGCTGTGGAATATATAAATGTATCGGGGAAGGTATATAGAATTTATTTAAAGAAATTACACATGTGTGATTTTAAAATGTTTATGATGTACCTATGTATTGTAAGTTTTGGTAAATTCAAATCGTAGGTGGAATTTCCGGTGACTACAATAATGGCGTTAGATAATGATGAGGATCGTTCCATTGCGTGTTTCATCTTTGGTGATGGTCTACAAGATGATAAATGGCTTGTTGAGAATTTTGGCCATAGCTTAAGTCGTCTAGAACTGAAGGACTTGCTGCCAGAAACGTGGCTTCATGGTTATGTAAGTATTTTGTAGTTCTGTTTTGGTAAGGCATACTTGACCACATATTAGCTATACTAATCTTGGGTTTTGCTTATTTTAGATTTTGACTGCTGTAGTTTGTCAATTAGCTGTTGATGTTAGGGCTTGGGGGAAAAAGGGACCTTGGTATCTTCCATCCAATTTTGAGGTAAGCAACAATTATGGAAAACTCTTTACAGTAAGTTTACTTTTTTCTTTCTCCCAAAGTTGAATAGTGAATGTGAACTGCTACCCAGGATTTGGTTGTGAAAATGGGTTGGACTCCAAAAAAAGCCGTGGAAAAATATAAGAACCTATATCTTTGCGGCACCTTTGAATGCACCAAGGTATGGTGTAATAATATTAGTAATTTTTCCAGGGTACTATATTCTCTTAATGTTTTGCCCTTTACTGTATAGTCCATTCATTCTTTCGTCATCATTTACTTGTTTATTTATTTCAGATATATTTGCCAATGAATGATGAGAACCGCCATTGGTTTCTTATTGTGGTTTTCATGGACCGAAAGGTAGTGCATGTAGTGGACTCTTTGCCTATTGATTTGGGTTTGCTGGAAAATCGTAGGAAAAGGGTGCAAGGAATGGTGGGTGATCAACTATTCCCTTCGTGTAAATTTAGTAAGTCAATTTTCTTTTTTTTTAATTTTTGTACTGTAATAGTTACGTGGTTAAGTTTGTTGTTGCAGTTGAAATTCTTTTACAAGATGCTTCAAGAATTTCCAGACAAGCCATCAACCTATGAAGTGCCCAAAGTGCATAAGTTCAAAATCATAAGTCCTCCATACGTTTCTAAGCAAATTGATGAGTTAGTATTTCTTTTAGTATTTTGATTATTTCATTTCGATTCACAATCTTATTTTCAATAATAAATGCTATTTTTCTACGTAGCTATGAGTGCGGGTTTTACGTCTGTCAGTGGATGTTGCACGGAGAGGCTGATAATAATTCGTATACGGCGGTATAATACAATCCTTTCCTTCTAAATATGATTCCATCCACGTGAGATTCTACACTATCAAATCGAAATCAACATGTTAAGAGTAATGTTATACATTTGCTGCAGGTTTGTAGTAATAGAGGTCGACTATCCTTGGCCATAAGTTTAGTCAAAGATCTCTCAAATACAAGGCGCTCTCAAATTATTGATGAAGCAAGGGCCGTTTATGAAAGACATTTCAAGGGGAAAATCAGCTCAAAATGCCAAAAGAGTTTATTTGATTCATTTTAGAAAAGTAGTTGTTTTTGTTTTATTGGTAGTCGGTCGGTTTTATACTTTTATTGATAGTCGGTCGGTTTTACTATCACTTTGATCCCAATTGAATTCATTTTAGATTGGTTTTGGTGTTTACCTTTATTTTTTCTTAAATCCGAATGTTGGTTCACGTTTTTGTGGCTTTGTTCCTGATGCTTGTTCAGCTGAGATAAGGCTTAAAGAAGGCGCCTAGGCTTGAGCCTTATGCCCCATTCACTTGCCATTTCATTTTATGTTTTTTGTTGTCACAACAAAAAATAAGAAATATGAGTAAAAAAACGTGGTTCATTTCTCCTGCAAAAGCAAAACAACAAAATCTAGTTTCCTGGAAATTTAGTCGCGCGTTTCTCCCCCATTCCCAGCGGAAAATTGTTACTGTAGTTAAATGAGGTTCTGGGTTCGAATCACATCACCCAAATTTTTTTTCCTTTACTTCCTTCTCGACCATCATTTTGGAACTTTCTTCCCTCTTAAGTCCACACCGGATAAACTCATAAAACCTGAACCAGTTTCCGCGTCAAGAAACTATTGACCTTTCTCCTGGTCAGTGGGGGTTTTTGTTATCTTTATTTCGGCCCAAAAAACGCTCCAATTCTTGGCTTTGGCTTTGGCCTTTGGATATCTCATATCTTGCCACCGGAGGACGCCGAAGATTATGCGTTCATCGAAGCAAACATAACCATGTTGGATCCAACAAATAGCTTCAATAACAAAATTTTAACCCAATAACAAGTGTATTGTTTTGGTTCTCAACGAACATGAAAAGGGAAAGAGACAAGCAGACAATTCAAACAATTCAAGGGTATTGTTTTGGTTCTCAACGAAAATGAAAAGGGAAACAAAACTAGAGTACTGGCAGGAGAACTAATCAACCAAATATCCAGAATATACTACTACAGGAGAAATGAACCACCATCTCCCTATGAATCTTCTAGTTCTGGATTACGCTCTTTTGGCTTTCCTCCTTGTACCTACGAGTCTGGGCAACAAATCTCGATGCATTACTATTTGCTTCCTCGATGACGACATGTCTTATGTAATTTGTAGGGTGTTGGACCAGATACAAAGCTAGTTGCATTCTCCTTATATCTCTGCATGGCTGCAACAGTTTGACAATGACAATGAGGCTTAGTAGCTGTTTCGAAAGGTTGTTTTCCTTCTAGGCCAAGTAGGAGAATTCTTGCTTACCCATAGATTATAAGAAGCATCCCAAGATGCACCCATCATCCATGAGCACACCCGAACGCCACTATCAGACCTACATAAAATAAGATGCATCATATGAGTGGTGGGTATCTAAGTATGTTTCTAATTTGTTCACAACGAACAATTCTTACTCGTGACGTAGTTCGGGAATTGAAGGAATTGTCAAAGAAAATTGTTCCAGCACAGGTGGATCAAGCGTTGGTTCCACTTGCCGATAAAGATCCTCAAACAAGTCATCAAGAAATTCGATCTACACAAGCAGTAATCACTTTATTCGGGATAGATGAATACACAAATCAATTTAGAGATATAACTGTATTAGGATCAGGAGGTCAAACCATACCATAGTTACTACTGCGTTTCTACGAGATCTTTGGCGCTTTTTAGAAGGATACGAATCCAATAGATGGACTTGTTTGTCGTCCAGCATAATGACAGCTAAATACCAGTGAACTGCATCCCGTCCATTGCATCTTTCATGGGCAGACACACCTAAATAACGACGAAAAAGACCACACTCAGCTTAGCATTGTAAAATACAATTTATAGAAATATCAAAAGCTTGATGGAACATCTAATTTATTCACATATCCAATTCAAACAGTAGCTAGAAACAGTAATTGAGGAATATTTCAATGAAACAAGAAAGGAATTGTTAAGAAGAAACCTTTTTGCACGTGTGAGCTCTTGCCAAGAACTTTGCACCATAACACTCTAGAGCTTTTTTTGATGTCATGACATAGTTGATTACCATTTCCTGATCATGGTTCATTTAAAATAGAAGATAACACATTTAATAGGAGAAACGGAATATTGCACCTAAAATAAATATACAAAGTAAATGGGACTATACTTGTAGTTCAGCAGGCAGATAACAGACTACTCTTCCATCTCCAACATTCCTCCAAACTTCCTCCAGGCTCAATTGGCAAGCCATGGCTGTAATTACATCATCATCGACATTAGACTTAGGGCAGAGGGACCACAACACCTTTCGTGTATAGGATTGCATCATGGTTTCAACCAGGACTTCCTTCTGTGGAAGATCCTTCGCAAATATGTAGTGGGCAAGGTTCACTTCCTCTCTAGTGTACTTGAGAACTGTTGGAAGTGTAAACTTTGTTTCACCCTACAATAGAAGACGAAACATAAGGATAAAAACAATTGATTTTGTTCTAAGTGGGGAAAATTGGTGGGCTAGATTATCATACCTTCTTGTCGAATTGTAAGTAAGAAAATCTGGTACGGCCTTTCGAAACTAAGTCATTCCAATCTGCCTGCAAATCACCATCAATCTGGATCACACCATCTTCAGTTCTACCTTTCTTTCCTCGAGATTCATCCTTCTCCAGCATCAGAATTCATCGTAATAAAAACACAATGCCTTATTTAGTTTGGAAGCATAATTTGCCAACGATGGAGAAAACGGGAAAACAAGAATGCAAATTGACGAACCATTAATTTGGAAGAACTTCTAGTCTTGCGTTTTGTCATCATCCTCCCGTCCTTATCGTTCTGCATATTGCTCCTGGTTTCTGCCCCCTGGCCGAGCTCCTGTCCTGAATGAGCTTCTGGTGAATGCAGAAAAGGAGTTAGCATTCTTAAACTAGGGCCAACGGGTGAGTGTTTTTCTCTATAAGGATACTGGAAACTTTATCTTCCTCATTAACCTCCACATGGAAAAGGAAAATAATATTTTTACGGGTAATAATTAACATGGAAACAATCCGCATCACCTATTTGGAAGTTGAATCTACCATATATAACACGCAAGCATTCTTTAGTATTTTTTTCGGTAATTCAAGCATTCTTTATTAGTTGCATTCTTTATCCAACTAGTAACCATAACGGGAAACAATATAATAAAAATTTAAAGTACTAAAATATAAAAATAAACTGTACACCATGACGGAAAAAAATAGAAAAAACTAATAACACGTGAAAAACGGATTAGGTTAACAACAACAGCAAAAAGACCTCTGCTTTGCGCTTCAGCCCCTCCCCACAAACAGCAAAAAGACGGCACACCAATGGAGGAAGAGGGAGATAATATCAACAACAATGAAGACAGCGATGTTGAAATCATACCAGAAACAATGACCTCTGACAGCGATGGTCCTACTGTAGAGGAGGATGACACAAATGTTACTCAAAATTCTCCTTTTATCGGTCAGGAATTCAATCATTTTGAGGATGCATATGCGTTCTACAACAACTATGCTAAGAGTTGGGGGTTTTCTGTCCGTCGCTCAAGGAAGGTTAAGAACGTCAAGGGAGAGGTAACAAGTGCAGCCTTCGTGTGTTCTTGTCAGGGAGTTCGAGAAGCACATAAAGGTCCACAAAAGAGGGAGTCGCCTATGGAGATCAGATTTCAGTGCATGGCTATGTTTCGTGTGAGCTTGAACAAAACAAGCAATAAGTGGGTGGCTGATATATTTAACTCACAGCACACTCATGACCCAGTTAGGCAGAATCAGGTACATTACTTGAGGTCGCATCGAGGATTAACAGAAGCAGACAAGGCAGACCTCCGATTTAAAAAGGATGCCGGAATGAAACCTTCTCAGGCCATTAAGCTTGTTGTGCATTGTGCTGGAGGGCATGACAAACTTGGGTATACACTTAAAGATGGGTTAAATTTCAGCACCAAAGACCGCGCTGAGAGAATCAGCGAGGGTGATGCAGCAACTGCACTGGCCTATCTAGAATCAAAGAAAAGCACAGACCTACACTTTCTCCTCCGATACACTACTGATGAGGAAAAAAGGCTCCATTTTTTATTTTGGGCTGACAGCATTTGCAGAGCCGACATTTCGTGTTTTGGAGAGTTGCTCGCATTTGACACAACGTACCAAAAAAACATTTACAATATGCCACTGGTCATTTTTACAGGTACGCCATCCTAGTATGCCCTCTAAGTATTATCCTTTGCTTTGTTGTTTGAATACACATAATGGCATCTTGAAAACAGCAAGTTTCTGATTATATGAACTCTACCATTATTTACATTTTCCTCAGAGTTTTAGCTTTTCTCCTGCTAGTTCAAAAGATTCTGATTTTTCCGAGTTTCTGTTTGACATTGTAGGTATCAACCATCACTTCAAAACTTGCTTATTCGGGAGTGCACTGTTTCCCAATGAGACTGACGAAACCTATTGCTAATGTGTTTCCAAATGCAACACATCGGCTATGTGCATGGCATTTGTCCAAGAATATCACTGGCAGGGTGAAGAATCGACCCGACTTTGAATCCCGGTGGAAGAAGTTAGTAACTGCTGAGTACGAGCCAGAAGAATTTGAGGAGAAATGGAATGCATTGGTAGAGGAATGCGAACTCCAGAACAACCAATGGGTGTCAAAAAAAACTATTTGGGAGACGCAACGAATGGGCGGACACATACTTGCGCTCACATTTCTTTGCTGGGTTGACAACCACATCAAGATGTGAAAGCATAAATGCGGTTGTTGCAAGGTATGAAAATGAGAGGTTCTGTTTGCTTGACTTTTTCACTCAATACGACCAGTGGCTCAGAGACATGAGAGAGACAGAGATTAGATTAGATTTTGAGTCTAATTATGGTGTAGTTCCTATAAAGAATTCAATCCTAAAGCCCCTCGAGCAAAGTGCAGCAAAGCTTTTCTCAAAGGCTGCATTTCTTTTGTTCAAAAATGAGTTGGAGGAGGTTATTGGAGTCATTAAGGGTAACCAAACTGAAGAGGGGAACCTACACACTTACACTGTTACCATGTTCAACAAACAGAAGGTCATAGAGGTGAAATACAACATTGAAACAAGCGATATGGAATGCAGTTGTCAAAAGTTTAAGAGTATTGGGATACCCTGCGTTCATATGCTATTTGTTCTCAAAGAAGAAAAAGTGAAGACTATTCCTGAAAAACTGGTACTCAGACGTTGCTCGAAGAACCCAAAGTCCCTACACACTCTGCCAGAACCAAGTACATTGGGGGATGACAGCAGTTTCAGCATTAGGTACGGGTCGCTACAGTTCATGGCTCAACGATTCTGCTTATTAGGAGCAGACACTCCTCTCTCTTATCGAATGGCTCAAGATGAGTTGACAGCAGCGTGTAACAAGTTGGAGATGGTAAAGAAAACCCCCGCCGAGAGAGAAAGGATTGTCATACCAGAAAAGTTCAAAGATGTATTGAACCCAAATCAAGTGAGGTTTAAGGGTTGTAGGAAAGGAAAAGGGAAAAAACCACTTAAGAAAAAAAGAAGAAAGTGTGGGAACTGCGGGCTAAGGGATGGGCATTATAGGAGCACTTGTACTAACCCCCCAGCCGACGTGGTAGAATCTCAATCTGATGAGGAGGATGACGACGATGACATGGACGATGATGGGGATGATGATGGGGACGATGATGGGGACGACGGAGAAGATGGAGACGACGATGATGGAGATGATGACCAAGGTGGTCAGCCCCAAAAGGTAATTAGCATCTCTAGTTAAGTGTTCTTGATATAGTTATTAGAGTTAATAAACTACAAATGTTATTTTGTTTTTACCAGAAGCAACGAACGAGCAGGCATAATACTACTGGAGAGCCCATAGGGAAAAGTCAGCCACAACAGAAGGTTATATATCATTTGTTTATTCACTAAATTATCGATTTGTTAGAAATGGTTATTAGCTTAAGAGTTTATTTGCCCTCTAACAGATCGGGGCACGTACTAGGAGCAAAACTAGTCAACAAGAGAAGGGAGCAGAGAAGGGAGCTAAGAAGCATACAGGACATAGTGCTGGGAGTACTAGTCTGCATGATGATCGTCCAGGCGATGAACATGAACTGGTACTTTTCCAATCACACTAATGATTTAACCAGCAAGATTAGATGGTTCTTTGTGTTGGAAGTTACATCTTTAATATTATTTTATCTTATTTTGGTCTGCTACAGAAACAACATCAGACTAGAACCCGTGGTGCAAAGAACAGAAGCATCAAGAAAAACAAATGAAGTTCACTACCACTTCCATAGCAAGAAGTTGAAACGCCCATGGAAAGCAATGACCACTTTTTATTGAGTTTACAATTTCATTATTGATTTTAGGGGACAAAATCTTTTATCTTGGTATATTTCACAAAAGTAAACTCCATCGACACTTTCATATTTTTGTTGGACGAAGGGTACATTGCGGGACATGAACTGTTTGCAATTGAAAGGACATACCTGGATTTTCTTCTTTGTTTTTTTTTTTTCTTTTTCTTTTGTGTGAAACAGACCTGGCTAGCTAATACCTCACGGGTTGCTCCTCCATAAACTGTCAGCATAAGAACAGGTAGATCTTTGAATCGGATGTTGAAGCCAAATATATGGAAACCCATTCATGTGTCTAACCAGTATAGCCGCCTAAATTTGTAACAGTGACATTGGAAATGCGTAATTTACCTCCAGTCTGAAGTGCTTTTTCAATTTGTCCACTTCAGATTACCTTGAGGCCTCAACTGCATTACGAAGAGATATACTATCAATAGAATTGAACAAATATATCATTTTTCAACTAGGATATGTTCAGTTCTGTAAGTATTTTAGAAACAATTCTAGTCCTTTTCTCGAGATGTTTTTGAAATGGACAAACTGGGGCACAAAGACAATGGCTTAAGGGTTGAAAGCATACCAGTATGAGCAATCGATTGTGGGAGTTGAGATAACATTCAATCGCATCTCCCTGTGGAAGCCCAGGTGCGACTTGCCTCATCCTTAGTTGTGCCTCAACCACTATATCATTGAGCTCACTGTCCAGAAAAAAATACAGCAATTTAAGATGGTCAGAGTCAGGATCTCACGTATGCAATTATCGATACAGTAATTGCATGTCAAAGGAGGAACACATACTTTCTGAAGTATGATCTTCGGTCAAAATAGAATTCGTGAACTCATCATAGAGAATCAACGCATTCTAAAATATAATTTGAGTTGTATGAGAATGAATTGAAATCGGCTGACTAATATCTAAGTACCTCGCTGAGAATAAGAACACCTCTCTTTGAATATATGAAACAACCCGATCTTTTTGGACAAATCAAACCAAAACTTTAAAACAAAAACCGGTTACTCCGGAGCAACCCAAACCATATTTTTAAGTCAAACCAAAAATCAACCAACGACAATAACCCAAAAATCTCAAACGAAAGGCCCTAAACAGTTGGGCAAATCTCAATCCGAACACTTGAACCGAAAACCTGAGTTTCCCAGTATACTCATAGAATAGGAAATAAAGACAAATATGATAAAAAGGGTCTCATCTCAATACCCTGATCCTTCCGACATCATCAAGCTTGACGCGGCTGCCCTCCTTGATTAATCTCCTGGTGTTGGTTAATTTATATACTTATCATTTGGGTTCACCGCGTTACGTATCGCCGTCCGGTGTCCCTATCCTTAAGGCAATGGTACTGCGTTACGTATCGCCGTCCAGTCCATGCCCGGTCAACTACTGCGTTACGTATCGCCGTCCAGTAGTGACCTGACCATCTATCGCGTCCAGTAGTGCCCCAACCGCACGGGGGTTCATCTTACCATCAACCACACATCATAAACACACACACATACATAGCACATCGAACTCACCAAAGGGCAGTAGAACCAAATTGGCCTCGAGCTCATGTCCGGCTACTGTAACTGGACAATCGCGGATGATCGAGTCTACAATCAATTGCTCTCCTACTGGGGTACTTACCCCTAGATTTTGGCCTAACTTCACATGAG